CGTTGTAAAAACTATGAAAATTTTTAAAATTTACAAATTTTAAGAATGAAAATTTTGGATATTTTTGGCATGGAACTTTTAAAATATAAATGAATTTGATATTTGCCACCCCATGAATGAACCAGTTGGACAACAGTATCGAACTTGAAAATCAACACTGCCTGGTGCAAATGAATAGAATGATAGTAGATAGAGTGTCGAATCTGGCCATTTCCAGGACCATTGGATCGACCAACTAACCGTTCGATAGTTGATTGATTGACCTTGAATAGCCAATGGAATATGACATAATGCTTTGGGATTTTGTGCATATATTATAGCCATATCTTCACTATCTCCACTAGTACTGTTTTTTGGTTTCCCAACATTGAACCACGCTGTCTAACCACGATTACCTGAACAATTTTCTTCGGTAGTATTCGATGGATAGAATGCATTGAGAGCACCGTGAGTATTGGATACTAACATACTGAGAATGAATATAGTTAATATAAACATTTTCATCAATGACATCGTAATTATACGATTATAAAGGAAAGAATCAGTAACAAGTATTACTTTGACATCATCTTATATAGATACAGAGTAGAGGTACAAGGTATCTAGTGAAAATATAATAAATTCTTTCTCGAAGTGTTGATATTTAGATTTCACTAACATGAAAAATAGCACCTATGTACAAGCTTTACTCATGCAGAGTATCATTCATCAATATGTACGAGATGTTAAAAGGAAGTGAGTCATGACTTTTGTTTTCATGACATATTGGAATAAAATAAAATAAAGACTAATGTTCTATGATTGTTTTAAAACTTCAAATTTAAGGAACTAAATAGATATTTTCGTCAAATTATCTCTCAAGTGAATCAGATAAACATTTGTCATAAGAATAAAAGTGTTCCTATGAGTGTCCATAAAGGAGGGGGCGCTTTAGAGCTGAAATGGGACGCCCCCCCCCTCAAAAGTTTTTCTTTTTCACTCACACTGGTAAGTCTCAAGCTCCCTCCCAGGGTCGCCGGGGTGCGTG